TTTAAGAGTTCTGGGGTGCTTTTTTCCAAAATCTTAACAGTGTTGTATGCTTGAAGCCACATTAGGCTAATTGTATGACTTCGGCACTGGAAAATATATTATTGAATTTAATTTGGGAAGGGGAAGCTTTTATAAACTAATCGGTGAAATGTTAAAGAGAACAATATCATAGAGTTTTGCTGACACAAAGGTAACAGGCATCTATCAAAATCAACTAGGTTGCAATTTTGTGTTGTAGGTGTGGAATATTGGTGAATTCTTCTTTTTAGCAATTAAAGACTTATTAAAAAAAAAAAAAAGGCAGAAGGCTTGTTACTTTTCGCCATACATTTTTGTATGCTTTATTTGGTATGTGCTGTTGCTTAATTTGTGCATCCCATTACTGTGGCAGTACAGAGCAGTTACTGCAGATGCCATCATCCTCTTAAGTACACATACTGTACATTAAGCCACATGTTTATTTTATGACCTAAGCATTTTAGAGCTTTCCTAGCAATAACTAAAAAAACTAATGGAGTATGAATGAGAAAATTGCCTTTTTCATTTGATAATTTAGGTTTAACAGGATTCTTTTATTACTTTAGCTAACGCAAAATTGCAGATCAGGGCAGATGAGATCAGTTTGAGCAGTATCAGCAAGTGTTTGAAGTAGATTTACTGTGAGCCAGGTACTGCAGCTTTCTGAAAATACAGGTAGTTATATCCAAGCTAACTGTCCAGAGAGTCCAAATTAGGGCATCCTAAGCCACGCCCTCCGATTATCAGGTGGAATTATTTCCCAGTGTAAGATGCTGTGCCATTACCTACTGCCAATGGGATAATGGGTTTTTAGCACAGATTTCTGCCGTGGGATTCATTAGCGTTCGCCTTCTGACTGTCCCTCTGCATACCACAAACATGGCTGATGAGCCTTTCGTTTGCACTTCAGGAATATTTTTTAATTGTTCTTTTGCAAATATTTGCATTTCATAATAGCAATTTCAGGGTGATCCCTATTAATTCACAAGCAGCTGAGTGTAGGACTTAAATACTGATCTTCATGCTTCAGAGTTTATTTAGCGTAGATTAGAGGGCATTAATCTTCCCCAGGGCTAATGGGGCAGGGATGTATTGTTTTATTCATACTTGTAGACCAGTTTACACAACAGAAAGATGCAGTCTTACTCAGAGGGTTAGAGTATCTCTCACTGAATGTCATTGACAATCCTGTTATTTCAGCCGTCTTTTGTACAGTTCTTCCACAAAAAGGTGCCAGGCTTGTTATGTTGACTGTAAACTATCACACAGAGTATTTCGTCTGCGCAGGTAGCATACTGTTGACACCTCTCAATAAATGCCCTGCTTCTGGGGGTGATAATCTGCTGCAGGATCTATTAGTGATACGCAGGTTTCAGTTGCACCAGGGCAATCCAGAGGGGTTTGACAATCCATTTCCCAGGAAGATGCCAAAGCCATGGATGAAGCCACAGAGATGGATTTCTTATGCAGGGCAGGAATTTCTTTACCCTTTTCACTGAAGTTAGCTTAATCCTTGTGATTTGGTGAAGGATGTTGTTCAGGCTGCTCCCTGTGTTTAATATTAACATTAGCATGTGTTTAATATTAACCAACCTCGTGTTCTTGATAAAGACGAATCTACAGGTGATGTTTGTGTGGTTGAATCTTTAAATGACGTTTAAGGGGGGGAGCTGCAGGAGGGCAGTTTAACCCCAGTGCTCACAGTTTCCTTCCTCACTGGTCAAAGTCTGTGGCAGAGGGAGAAAACCCTGTTTTCCCACAGGCACAGCAGCGAGCCCGGCTGCTGGCCCCGAGCAGCGCAGTGACCTGACCGGACCCCATGCTTACGTAGTCACAGTGCGTGCAGATATGAGGGACGGAGAGGTGGTTGTCACCAGAGTTGATAGTTCATAGGAGTAACAGCACAGTTGCTCTCTCCAGCCTTCGCCCTTCCCATGACGTGGGCTGAGATTTGGAGGGATGGAGGGGCAGGACAGCACCGTTCCCCAAAGCCCAGATCCTTGAGGTTCAGCCCTAGCCACGGGGAAAACACTGTAGGGTTTGCTGTTGGCTTCACGTTTTTCAGGTGTGAGGTCTAACCATTGCTCTTGACCATCACCTGTGGGACCTGCTGCAGCCCAGGTAACATCCAGTGGAAGTCCTTGGCAATTGTGAGGGCCAAGAATGAATTTCAGCAGAAAATCCCATATCCAAATCTCAATCCAGTAGCAAAACAAGCAAGATTATTTTTATAGATGCTACTAAACGTTTAAAACATTTTAAAATATTTTTAAAATCTACGCCAATGACTAAACCTTGTTCCTGTCTCTAGCACGCATGCAGAACCAATCTCCATCCATCCCCAGGGGAATGACAGCTATAGTACCTGTAAGGAGTTCATGCTTTATTAGTCAAGTGGAACATTAATAAAACCCAGCCCACTTCATAATTTCCAGAGTAGTCATTAATTAAAAAAACCTGTTTATTGGAATAGAAAACAAGTATTTGATTAGCTTTGTTACAGAACAATAGCTCTCCTAATTTTTATTCTGCATATTTTATTCTTTGTTTAGAAAATTCTCTTAAGAAGCAGTTGAGATAATTCGCTTTTTAAAACTGTACAGTTTCTATGGTTTTGCTTTTTAAATGAGAGTACACTTTGTAGATTTGATAATTATATTTTTCTGTTAAGATTACATTGGGCATTACAAAAGCATTCCCCACCACAGTGAAAAGAAAGCTATCCTGTTGGTTTATTGTAAAAGAAAAAAAAAATTAAAATTGCAGAGCTGTGGCATACTCAATCCAATTAGAGCATGACTCTTTACTACTCTTCATTTACCACATTAGAAATAAAATAAAGTTACACCAGCAAGATTTCATTTGAAGCTGTTCTTGCATGCTGTTTGTACTGTATTTGATGGCATAATATTGTTTTGTTTACAACCTTTTCTTTCTTGTCATTCTGTTATATTCTTTATGTGTATATAGTTTAAAAAAAATTATACAAAATATTTTGTTCTACCTCTGTAAAAATCATATTTGTGAATAAAGTCACGTTGTCTGTGGAGTACGGTACTGTGAATACAGCATTAACAGCTGGTGCTTTGCTTTTATTTGGGGGGTGGGAGCGGTACCTCCATCCGTTGCTGGAGAGCTGGATTCTGAATATCCGAGGTGGGTACGCGGGGCTGACAGAGAGGGGCACAAACGTCCTGCTGACGGCTTAGAGGGGCACGTTTAATCTGCTCTGAGCAGAAGAGATTGCAGCCACCTCCGGCTTGGGTGTGTGGCCTGTAATATTGCAGCTTCCAACGTTTTGATCAAGGCAGACTCCTGTGCTCAGACCGGAGAGTGAAGCAGGCAAAAAAATGACTAAATTACAGCGACGCTCCTTGTACAACCGGCAAGTGAAAAAATCTGGCCTATAGTGTGTGTCACAGAGTGTGTAAGTTAACAAACAGAATAAATGATACCGTCTTTCAGGAAAACTAAAGGCAGGAAAATGTTTTTGGAGTGGGAAGGCTGGTGGATCAGAGCATCACATAATGGGTGGTACGGGCTGCCCAAGGATTTACAGTT